TTCATTGATTAGCTCTAGTAATTTTCTGGTAGAGTCTTTAGGGTTTTCTATGTAGAGGATCATGTCATCTGCAAACAGAGAGAGTTTCACTTCTTCTTTTCCTATCTGGATTCCTTTTATTTCTTTTTCTGTTCTGATTGCTGTGGCCAACACTTCCAAAACTATGCTGAATAGTAGTGGTGAGAGTGGGCACTCTTGTCTTGTTCCTGATTTCAGGGGAAATGCTTTCAATTATTCCCCATTGAGGATAATGCTTGCTGTGGGTTTGTCATATATAGCTTTTAACATGCTGAGGTATGTTCCTTCTATTCCTGCTTTCTGGAGAGTTTTTATCATAAATGGATGTTGAATTTTGTCAAAGACTTTTTCTGCATCTATTGAGATAATCATATGGTTTTATTTATTGAGAGGCCTAGTCACATATCAATAGCAGTTCTTACTAGCCTATCCAAAATCTTTATATTTTAATTTCCACTTCATGTTTACACTGTCTGTAATTAGCAAAAAGAATAAGCCTAACATATATTTAGTAATCAAACTAGCCTTTCAAACCTATCCAAGAGATTCTGGTATTTGTTGAAAGGAATAGGTAGCACTGGATACAGTATAATTTAATTTAGGTGCTTTTTAAAAAATAAAGTGAAGATACACTGATTTTCTTAAAAGCAGTTTCATGCCATGCACATATGTTACAAGTTACTTATCTTAGGCTTCCATTAGACCACTGAGCTAATTGCCTTGTCTCCAGGGAAACCAGAAGCAATATTAGTTATAGAGCCTAAGACTTTCACAATTTTTCCCTAACCAGTCATTAGACCAGCAACAGTAGAACCTCTTTTATGTGGCCTGATAACTATTATGTGTAGCATTCTGGGAAATATGTCTATTTTCATTGAGTCTAATGAATTTTATCTGTAATTCCTCTAGATATTTAGAAAACTGTCTTAGTATTTGCTTCAATAGTTAAGAAGCTGAGATGGCTAAATAAGAAATCAACCTGAACCTAAGATTAATAAATTCTTGGAAGACTGACCTATGCAAACATTGGTGTGATTAATGCCAGAGAATGTTTTGCCTATGTGCTCTTCTAGGAGTTTTATGGTCTTATATTTCAGTCTTTAAGCTGTTTTGAGTTTATTTTTTATTTTGTCCTGGGAAAGGAGGCATTTAATTTTTATTTTTTAACCTGGACATTCTTACTTCTAGTCAATGTACCTTTTCTTTTTTCCTTTAATGATTAAAGCAATGTGTGTTTGGCCACAGTCTGTTTTAGTTAACATAGAATTCAAGTTAAATCATGTACAAACTAGAATGACTTCCCCATGCCTCAGTATGTAGAAGTTTCTTCTATTAATAATCATAAGCAATTAATTGAATTTCAATTATTAAGTATGCAATAAAGCCTTAAAATAACATTAGGAATGCAAATGTCATTGTAGGACCTCTTTCTTTTTTTATATAGAAATTTAGTTGATTTATAATATTATACTAGTGTCATATGTGTAGCATAGTGATTCAATGTTTTTATAGATTATATTGAGTTTATTTTTGTACATGATATGAGAGTGTGTTCTAATTTTATTGATTTACATGTGGCTGTCCAACTTTCCGAGCACCACTTGTTGAGGAGATGGTCTTTTTCCCATTTTTATATTCTTTCCTCCTTTGTCAAAGATTAATTGACCATAGGTATTTGGGTTTATTTCTGGGCTCTCTTTTCTGTTTCATTGATCCATATGCCTGTTTTTATACTAAAAGATATAGACACTCTTATGTTCTAGCAGCACTGTTCAGAATAGGCAGAACATGGAAACAGCCTAAATATCCATCGTCAGGTGAATGGACAAACATATCATATACACATGCAACGGAATACCACTCAGACATTAAGAAGAACAAAATAATGCCATTTGCAGCAACATGGATACAGCTAGAGATTATTATACTGGTGAAGTAAGTCACATAGTGTGCCTGTGTCAGGTTAAGTGTGATATCACTTATATGTGGCATCTAAAATATGACACAAATGAACCCATCTACAAAACAGAAACAGACTCATAGACATAGAGAACAAACTTGTGGTTGTCCAGGTGGAGGGAAGAGGGAGAGGGATGGACTGGGGTTGGTAGATGCAAACAATTACTTTTAGAATGGATAAAATAAGGTCCTAATGTATAGCACAGGCAACTATATTCAATGTCCTATGATAAATCATTCTGGAAAAGAATATAAAAAAATAATGTATATATGTATAAGGAGTCACTTTGATATATACAGCAAAGAATGGCATAACATTGTAAATAAACTATGTTTCAATAGAAACTGTTAAAAANTTTTTCCAGTAGTCATATATGATATTGTATGATCTCTGTTGCAATTTATTAAATAAAAGCCTTATTTATGAAAACAGGCTGTTGTCTGGATTTTTGCTAAAGTTTACTGACCACTGAACTATGGAATAAAAAAAATTAGAACCCCTACTACTGATAGTGAAATCCATATCAATATGGGTCTACTTGGAAATATTTTCAGGTGATAAAATGTTTTATCCTGTGCAGAAAAATGGAAACTTATTAAAAGAAGGCAAAAAATGTGTACTCCCTAGGTAACAAGTCTCTGATGTGCCAGTTTCTAAACTTTCAAACTCAAAGCGCAATTTCACAGAAATAATTTTAGATGTTCAACTTAAACACATTTCTCAGCAACTGAAACCACATTACAGTTGGTATAGAACCACTCTGGACTTTTAGAAGCTAAATTCT